TCTAGATGCAAAGGATTTGTGACAACAACCAGACCTATAAGTTGTCTATTCCATTGGTTTGACCATGTAAGCAACCACTATGTTTAAATATTGTAAATATTTGACCTTTTCAGCAGACAATTATTTCTGTATTTATATTACATTGAATACTAAACTGAAATATTTAGCTGTGACTTTAGTGGTGTAAAATTTCCATTGTAATTACAGCCAATGTTAGTATGGCTCTAGCAGCAAAAAGAGCCAGTTTGGTTTTAAAAATCAGGTCTTGCAGTAGAACTTCTATTTCCATGTGAATCTGCATTTAACTATAGTGTTTTTAGTTTCTGTGTATACATATTTGGAGTAAAATCAAGTTTTAGTGAAAGCCATGCTTTTAAATTCTGTTTACGCAAAATGATATGTATTTTAAACAATCAGTAAACACGTTTTGAATAAAGACTATCACCCAATTTAAAGAGTTTGTGCTGTTGTATATTGGGAGATGCCATCATTCTCAGCAAAACCAAAATGAAGATAGAAAAACAGTAACCCTAATAGAATAACAATGAACAATAATAAAAAACAGTGTTGAAGTGCTTTCATAGGGGATATAGTAATGGTACATTGTCAGTTTATTGATGATATGATTCTGTGAACCAGTTTTGAGGTTGAAGTATGGGAGTTAATACTGCGCCCTCTATGGTCAAGATGTAAAATTGAGCAGTATTTGTTTTCACAAAGCTACTGAGTAATTCCATAACGAGTAATAACATTGAGAAAAAAAAAACAGTATAAAACTTCTGTTTGTTCTGTTTAGGCAAACATATAACAAGAAAAAACAATGCCAAGGTAACAAACAGAATAAGTCTCGTATGTTATTTTTACTACGGTTTTGTTTGACGTTTTTTACTCTTCTTCATGGTAGGAACACTGCAATATATGTCATCAGGTTTTAGTTGACCATCTTTACTTCCATTTAATAGTTCTCCCGCAGACTGAGAACGCTTTTCCAATAACTGAACTCGTGTAGCCAATCCAACCAACATGAAGTTTATCTGTCAACAAATTAAGAAACAAAACATGTAGTGAAGACATTTTTACCAAACTAGCACAGTGCACACACAGTGTGGGCATGTTTGAGGCAAGGGGATGCATGTAAAGGTGTTGATATGTGGCATGGTGTGTATGATATGGACATATACCATAGGGAGCCCAGGGTTCTGAACATGGAAAATTGCCAAATTATAGGGGTGGGCATTTCCCCTGATATCCACGACAAAAAAAAAATGAAAATTCGCGAAAACCGACAACATGCACTTCAACTGCGACAGGGAATAGAACGGTAAATAAAAACACGCAAGAGAAATAAATATGCAACATTAGAAGTAAAACAAAAATATTGTATTGCTTATAATATGACAAATAACCAGAAAAGTCTGTGTGATTGCTAACTCACTAGTGCTAGCGTCAGGCACCCCCTCAATCATTTTCTAAGTGCAGGCTTCTGGAGAACGCAAATGTCTTTATTAACTACTACCTAAGAAACCCCAATTCATTGAGAAGGGCCTCTTTTAGGTTGCGTCCCGTCGTAGCGGGTCAGACTAGTTGCTGACCAAGCCCGAATGACCACAGGGGTCCCTGCACATAGGCGATAAGTCGGTCTCAGCATTTTTGAGGACAGATTTCTCTACCATCAGCACTCCTTGGAAGTTTCCATGTCCTCATGCAGAACTGTTTCGGTCTTTACTTCGAAAACATACTACGCCCTAATTTGGGTTTTGGGTCTAGCTTTCTCTGGCACACCATACCCTGTCACCGTAGCAGCAATTTTGGCTTTTTGCTCCAGGGAAAAATAGTCATTTTGACTGACAGGAGTCTGTGGTGGGTGAATTTAGGCAGAAGGTTCTCCGAACCCGCCTATTCACATAGTTCATACCCACCATAGACTCCAGGTCCCCTCCCACTCTTTCCGTAGCACTGGTCTAGTCCTTGATGCGGAGAGAAAGGAACCAGAATGAAGGTGAGGTGGTGTCACCACATTACCTCGGTCACGTGGTTTGTGACGCAAGGGAACAAAATTTTGGGCTCATGGGGCCTCCCCTGACCTAGATTTTACCTCTTCGTCATTGGCAGAATCGCTGATTAATGCCTACAGTTCAAAATAGTCATTTTGACTGACTGGAGTCTATGATGGGTAATTGAACGTAGTGAATATAGGAAGCTTTTTTCCAACGACAGAATTTTCATGACAGAAATGCAATAGCTGTGATGAAAGATGGTTACAAAATTGGAAGTCTTCGGCCTGACATTGCAAAATTGCTGGCTCCAGTTATGGATTCGTAAGCTGCTATCAAATATTTTATGAAGCCAAAACAACGTGCTTTCAACCAATCTCCCAGGTATGGGTTGCTACAATATTGCAACATTGGTTTCATTGTTGACACGCTAAAGCCAAACGAGTGCGACACTTGCTTTGCAGCTTTCCATAAAACTGTAAGATTTGCTTGAATCGTTCCTATAAGGAAACACAATACCAAACGGCCCTTTTCAGGGCCACGGAAGATTTCAAAATAAGTTTCTGCTTCAATATACATTTGGTTGACTCGCTGGCTGTTATGTTTCTGATAAAAAACTTTTAAAGAATAAATGTAAACTGCATAAACAGTGGTGAATGCACTGCTCTATTTATGTCACAGCTATTTTGCGTTCACTCCTAGTTTCACGCAACAGACTGCAAGGAAGTAAACTGTTAATACAACGAACAAAAAGAAGTTTTTTGTTTATTTTATTTTATTACAGGTGTAGAAAAACATCCCTGGGCGTATGCTAGAATATGACCTCAATTCCCATATTTCATCAAAAGTAGGGGGTGGGCGTTTGTCCGGACATGGCTCTTAGCCGGATAAATATGGTAGAAGATGTGTATAATGTAGCAAGTAGTGTATGATATGGCCAGATGGAAGATGTAGCAAGTTGTGGACATGTGAGCAAGGCGTGGACATGATGTAGACATGAGGTGAAGTGTTATCGAGTGGTAAGGTGTGAGAGAATGTAAAAAGATGAGCAGATGTATAGTACTAAATACCTCTTCCATGGTATTGGCAGAAGCCTTTCCTGCTTGTCTAACTTTAACTGAACCAGAAGAAGTGCTTGGTTGGGTTACATCAACAGAACCAGTGGAAGTGTTTGGTTGGGTTACATCAACAGAACCAGTGGAAGTGTTTGGTTGGGTTACATCATCACTGTCATTGTTGCTTTGATACACCAGGCTCCCAAGTTCATAGCTAAGGCACAACAAAGATAGAATAGAATGACAAATTTGATGTTTTTTTATATATGGATATACAAAAACAATGAAATCTCATGTCTAAATATGTTTTACGTAAGACAACATTAAACCTGATGTTACCATGACAACCATATAAATATATACTTACAACACACACTGCTTGATACTAAAGACAACACCAGTTTCTAAGTGTTTCAAATGCTTTGTTGCTTTTAAGTAAACCTTTCCAACTTCGTTTTTACATTTATAACATCGCACCAAAGCATAAGTACTGTAAACAAATATGAGATGCATAACTAAGTCTGTTGACTGGAGGCACAGGGTAAAAACCATCCTTGATTTATCCAGTAAAACATCCATTTTACTTGTAACAATTCTACACATCAAATTAGAGAAACAAGATCAAAGAAATTATAGGCATAGTATTGTAGGCATGAAGTACAGAAAGAATACAGTATTTACTATATTAGAAACACATCTTCAATACACAAAGAAAAAAATTATGTTTATCGTTTACAAGAACATTGAAATATGTCTTATTCTGACAAGGCGAAAATAATGATGAATCTTTTGGGCAGTAAATTAGACGATTACGTTAATATGGAAATCATCAAGTTTGACCAGGTAAATTATTCACAAGACACAAATGCCCAAGCTTTTCAAAATATAAGATGGCGGACATACTACCCCAGTATGTACTATGCAACATTATTTTTTGTCAAAAATCTAACACTGTAGTGACTGATCAAATTTACTTTATTTTTCTCATGAAAAATTTTGCCCATACATGCTACACACAAAATATCAAGTTGATTGATTAAAGCATTCATGAGAAACTTCCCCGAATTTTGACCATTTTTGGTGAAAATCAAAGACTGCTGCAAAATCATGTGACTAATTTACATTATTCAGTTTTGTCTCAAGGAGTTCAGTTGAGAGATGCAACATGGCATGAAGAAATAAGATGAATGAGCCATCAGTAAACAAGCAATGGTTTCGGAGAAGAAGTCGAAAATGTGCAAAAATGAGCAAAAAATTTTTTTTAAATGCACTAAAAAGGACAGTTGCATATAGTGCCATGAAAATAACAAGTGTAATCCATGTCAACTACATTCATGCCAAATTTCAAAGCAATCTGACAAGCGATTGTGGAAAAAATCATTTATAACCATAAATGAGAAAATAATTACATATGATGTATGCAGAAATACATTCAGGCATATTAAATCAGGTCACATGCCCCATTTCTACTATATAAATATTTAATATGCATAGATTTCAACCCTAAAATAATCAGGTCTGTAGATTATCCAGAAGCACTTACAAATGTATGTATGAGTACTAATTAAGATACATCCATGTATCCATGGAACACCTATAAATTGGTTAATTTATGCAAATTAAGTAATTAGTACCGGTAAGCACAAAATTTAACTATAAACTAACCATGCATATGGCTTATCCCACCTATGTACTAAATTTCATTGAAATCTGACAAGTGTTTTTTTTTATGATATGGGTGGAAATGCTAAAAATTGGGTAATTTTTAAAATTCTATAATAAACGTGTATTGTATTACTCCAATCAGACTAGTCATTTTAGGGTATGTACTTTCTAGAAACAAAAAAGTTCAATCAAGAACAAACATCCAGTGATGACAGAGATGACAGAGATAAATTCATCAATGATAAACTTGTTAATGTAGTCATTCTTTGTATAAATGTGTACCAGTTCATAGCAATCAAAGATTTGAGGCACTTGTTAGAGAGCCATTTTCAGGTGTGATATGATAGTGTTTTCAGAATTCAAGCGTCCAGTGTGGATAGTCTGAATTCTGATCCATGTCCCTGTATAAAGTGTTGCAGCTTGTAAAACAATAGGGTTTTATGTGCTAAGCATGTATGTTCAATGAGATCCCTGATGAGTTTTCATAGTCTACTGGTATTTACACGTCCAGTGCCGACAGTCAAAGTGCTGATTCATTTCACTGACATTTGAACATGATTGATCAAGGCATGTCAGAGATGTTGTCAGAAATGTCTCTTGGAACATCATTTCCGAAAAACAAGGGTCATTATTACAGTTATGTTCAATGTAAGCACCAAGGTTTTTTTTTTTTTTGCTATGAAATACAATGGAAACTTCAAAGCTTACAGTACAGTTCTCGCGGAAGCTTTGGCTTTTATGGCATCATTGTCGCCTACGCATGGCTTCATTGTCGCCTCAGAATCGCATCATTGTGGCATCAGCTTCGCGTCATTGAAAATTGAAGCTGTGTTCGCCTCGCTATTTTGTGGCATCATCATGGCCTCAGCTTCGCAGTCTCATGGCATCAATATGGCATCAGCTTCAACTTATTGTGACATGAGTATGACCTCATTATTTGCATGCAGAAGGGCAGTAGACAAAAACATGTACAGAAGTTCGATATGTAATCGATTTGAAATTCAAGGCGAATAAAATAATATGATCAAGAGTAAAATGACATTTTAAAAAGATATCTTGTTTAATTATTTTAGTGTTGCGAGTATTGGGCACCAAAAACTTTGCGAAGTACATTACAATCTGCAAGGTGACGAGTTTCATATTTTGATAAAGAAAATAGTCAGAATAAATTCATTTTGATTATGGCAAACCATACTCTAGCACCAGCCAGCAGTCTTCCTAAAAAACAGCTATGGAACAAAACAGCAACAACTATCAGTGTATTCGGCTACATTTTGTGTTCATTCTGTATTCACCATTGGCTTCAAATTGTCTTTATTGTTTTTGATTTGTTTTATTTTTTTTAGAAAATTTTTTTTTTTTTTTTTCTTTTTTAGATTGTAGTTTGTTTTAATTTCTTTCTGTAAGACCTTTTTTATCCTTTCCTAAGGATTTTATGCGTCTAATAAAAAAATAAAAAATATTGACTGGAAGGAAAATCGTGATAAATTCAAATCACACGATGCAATCGTCGTTCTGATACAACACAATTTGCTGTATACGAAGTGAAACTGTTCTTGTTATAAAATTACCCTTTTTTCGCTCATTTTATTTGCTGCTAGAAGAGCAGATTCAGATTCCTCATTTCGGTGGTATTTTTCTGTGTTTCGTTTAGTTTTAGCCGAGTCCGACCCCATGCCCGGAATACTAAAACATGCAATACACACGTACGCCGCCTGGTGCGTTGGCGCCGTCGCCGGTCATCTTGATACAAAGTTCCAAAACAAGTGCGTAACATTTCCAACATATGATTGGATGGTTGTGGTGGCGTCGGTCTGGTAAAATTTGACAACCAATTCTCAAAATTAAGTCACGATCAGTGATCTGAGCTCGATCTATACATACTTTAAAAGTATTCTTACAAACATATTTTCGAATGAAAACGAGCCACATGTCCTGTAAAAAATCGAATAGCGCTTGACATGCAGGAATAATTTATTGGGCTTCAGAAAAAAAACGTGTCCATTTAGTTGTGGCCGTAAATATTTGGTGACCAGCCGATGAACAATTTGAAAATCATGATTCACACGAAAGTGGTTTATCTTATTTCCCACTTGCAAAACTGATTGTATC